GCACTACTTTATTCAATAAATCAATATTGAATTAAATGACACAGTTCAATAGGTAACGTTATGGGTGAGCATGGTTTGATTTGGTTCAATTTTAAAGTAAATCAAGATCAAATCACTACCCAGTTCCATAATTTTTTTAACTAAATTGAACTATAAAAATTTTGGAAACAAACCAAATTTAACCATAAAAAAAGAAGTTTGATTTGGTTTGAAATTAAAATTTTTATGAACCTTGTTATCGTTTACAATATGATCACAACATGCTTAAACATTAAATAATATACTATGATTTTATAAACAAGAACTTGTAGAACAAATTGCGAACAAAATATAAAATTTTGTAAACTTATGAACCACGTTGAATTTGTTAGGATATTTTCAATAAAAACAATAATATTATTAATAAAATACTTTAATTGTTTAAATCGTCTCAAATTATATTGGCGTTTAAGAAGATTCAATTACAAATAACCATGAGGCAAACTCAATTATAAAGTTTTAATAATAATATAAACTCAATTATAAAGTCATGAAGTTTTATCTTTAACTAATGGGGGTGTTTTTAACCACGGAAAGTCAGTGGAGGTCTGAAAAGACTTTACTAACGAAATAAAATTTTGACAATGGAGGTTTGATAGAATTTCTTCTACGAATGGATAATTTTATGATTGAGTAGGTGTGTGTAATAAGAGTATGTGTACATTTTTTATTTTTTCATCATAAAATGATATATTTGTAATAATTGTGTATAGATTGAGAAAATTATAATTTTTTAAGTGTGTGAACTAAGAAGGATGTGCACTGATAGTAAATGGTGTGTAAAAATAAAATTTCCCATTATTTGTGTGGCAGTAATTAAGTTAGCACCGATAATTAATTTTAATAGCAATGATTAATTTAGGAGTGTCAATTTCTATTTTTTTTTTTTTTAGACAGGACCAATTTCTATTTGATTACTACTATTGTATAGTATCTTATATTTTACACTCCAATTTTTTCATTTTTAATTTGTTGAATTGTTAAAAGATTAAAAAGAATTGTAATTTTTTACATTTCACTGTTATTAAAAGGTTAATATTGCTAATTTATATTAGTTGTAACTTTTATAACTATAAATATTACAAGGCTATTATATATATATATATATATATATCACCAAAACATTATGATTTTTATTACATCATTTAAGGGTTTTGAAATAATCATGAGAATTTATCATTATTTGAATTTAGAAAGAATCATTACAAGCTTCTAGATAATGTAATGGAGATCTTTCATTATAATTTTGGAATGAATATACTATAACTATTCACTTCTAGTTTTCTATTTAGCCTGATTAGTTCCATTATTTATTAAATAATATAGATCCTATAAATACATATGACTTTAATTGCATCAATATACTTGAGAAGTGGAACAAAGTGGTGAAAAAAAATAGTGATAAATAGCATTTCTCTAAACTTTATATTGAAATACTATCATTAAATTGGATTATGTAATTTGCATTACTTAAAAATCAATTTCCAAACAAAACCAGTGAATGCCCCATATTATTCTAGGATTTCAGGAAGTGAATCTGGAGTTGTTACTGTGAATTCGAGAGTGAAAAAATGTGATTTGCTGGGTCGACGATGGATCATAGCTCTTGGGGAAATCAATCACCTCACTTGAATTGATTTTGTATTTCATCTAGTAGCTAGTGATTGCTAAACGATCGATCACCAATCAATCTCTTCACCAAGTTAGATTCATATTTTTCATGCAGTAGCTAGTAATCGCTAAGCTATCGATATTCTTTAATGCAATCGATCGCTTTGATGTAGATATTTCAAATATACATTTTTGTATCTTCTTTCTCTCACTATTCTTTCTTCCTTCATACTTTCTCTATCATTTATCTCTATCATCCATTAATACTACCTTAAAGCTTAGATTTGTCCTACCTAGAGTGATAGTTGATCTTCAACTCAAGTTTTAACGTTGTAGAGTTGTGGTGAGGGTTTCGTATCTATTGGGGTCGATTTTTATTTGCCCTACTTTTGAGTTTTTGGGTTTCTCTTCTTCACTATTTGAGGTAGACATTTCTTTTATCTATGTAATTTGAGTCCCATGAATGTGGTATTTTTTTTCTTTTCATTAGTTTGAGAAATTTGTAGAGATTTTGAAAGCATATTTGGTAGAGACTGAGTGTTTAAATAATGTTGGCCATTTCTCTATATTTTCACTATCAAATTTGTTTTCTTTATATTATATAGCACGATATATTTTCACTATCAAATTTGTTTTCTTTATATTATATAGCACGATGATGCTTTAAAGTGAGAGAGTCCCAAAATTTTTAAAATCTTAATTTGAGAAGTTATTTATTATTGTTGAATTTGTCTATACACTTGAAATTGCTATTGAAATATTGAATTGTGGCTCACTATCTATTCTAAAGATTGTAAATTATTGAAAATTTGTGGAGAATTGCATCGTTGGAGAAATCACCAACCTAGGTTGAATTGAAACTTATCTTTTGTAAATTGAATCATTGAATTCTTGAAATGGGAAAACCCATTGATGAATGGTAGTGTTATTGAAGAACACATTCTGGATAATTGGAATTTGCATGAGTTGCTTGTTATTTGAAAACTCCCTTGTTTTAAATTGAATGATAACGGAGAATCCAGGTTTAGAAATAAGATTAAGTTAGCGAGAGTGGCAATGGTGAAAGACCAAAAATCTACGTGGAATAGGTACTGATTTTCTTCTAGTTAGCAACCGGTAAAATGAGGGCATTTAGGAAATGTTTTGTGAGACCACTAATAGATACATTGACCTAGGGATTCACCTTGAGACAAATGGATAAATTGTCAATTTGAAACAGTTGTTGAACAACATATTAAATTAAGAATATAAAATGGAGGAGCAAGTTGGAAGAGCTGATGGTAGGAGATTTGAAGGGGGTTGGCAACCGGTGTTCTACAGAGGGAGAGCTGCTGGTCAAAGACGAAGTGGTCCAGGCTTGAAGCTATTTTCCATTTTTGTTGACAACCTTCCATATGATATGGATCCTAAAGGCATGTTTATTATGTTCTCTAAGTTTGGAGTGGTGAAGCATGTCTTCATATCATTTAAGAGAAGCAAAGTGGGAACAAGATTTGGGTTTGTTCGGTATGAGTGTGTAGTGGCAGCAAAGATGGCGATCCAGAAGGCAAATGGGGTCTGGTGCGGCAAGAAACAACTGAAGGTAAAGTTTGCAGATTATGATAATGGGAAGAATTATCACAGATCGGTGTCTGGAGTAGTTCATGAGAATCGTCTAAGAGTGGAGTGTGTAGCAGGGGATGGTAGCGAACCAAATGCATCCAATGTGCCTGTTCGTAAAGGCATTGGGATGAGTACATGTAGAGGAACAAAATCGTATGCAGACATTGTGAAGGAAGGAGGGGGCGAGGTGAATAAGCTGTTAAAAGTGGCAGTTTCAGACGAATGCAGTGACTGGTTACAGAGATGTATGGTGGTGCGTATCAAGAGTATGTCGATGCTGGGGGAGTTGCAGAGCTTGATCTGGAAGTCCAGTTTACATGAAATTCACTTTCGATTTGGGGGTGGGAATTTAATTCTATTAAATTTTCCAGCAGAAGAGTTATTACACCAGAAGTTTAGTTTGGTGGCAGACCTCATTCAAGATCTCTGTGACGATATAAGATTATGGGATGAAGATTTGCCTATGGTGACTTCTAGGCTAGTTTGGTTGCACTGTTATGGTATCCCTTTCCATGCATGGAACACTAGCACATTTCAAAGTATTGGATCTTTATGGGGGGACATCATCAGATTGGAGGATAACCTTGTGGAATCAAAATCTCTGAACTGTGGCAAAGTATTGGTTCACACTACGTCCATGGAAGCAATTAACTCATCGGTAGAGGTTGAGTGCAACAAGAGAATTTACAAGGTTTCGGTGGGGGAAGGAAGTAACAGTGTGGATTTTGACTATGAGATGCGCCAGAAATGGGGGCTGAACATCTCTTCACCTTCCCGGTCGGAGAGTTCAGTTGCCGGAGTTAACCCTCAACAAGATGTCAGAAGCGAGGAGGTGGATCACACTGACCAAAAGCAGCATGGGAACTCGGCTTTGGTGGCGTCAGACCATGGGAACTCGATTTCGGTGGTTAATGACACTTTTGCAGACTATGGCTTCGTGAAGGATGTTGGCACACGTGAAGGTCAAGTAGAACAGGTGGTGGTTAACGTTAGGAAGGATAACAGCTATTCTGCAGAGGAGGATAGCATGCTAAAGAAGTTACCAAGAGTAGTAAATGATGACAGCAGGGTGGTTTCTGGTGGGCCTCCTTTACTCACTCCAGGAGTTGTTAAGAGTCTGAGTGGGTCGGAGGGAAGTAGACCCAGTATTAATATTGAGGTAGTGCTAGAAGGGGCCTAAGTAGGAGGTCCTGTTGATGGGCTTAGTTGTGCGCTAATTAACAAAGTGGTTCCCCAAACTCAAAATGGACTAGCCCAATCTCGAGAGCATACTCTGTGCCCATCACAAGCCTAAGAGCTTGTCAGGTTCAATACAACTACTGTGGGTAGAGAACCAGTGGTAACAGCTAACACTCATCGTCTTCAAGAAGGTAAGGAAGGAGGTTCGAGAGGAAGGGGAAGGAGAGGAGTTCACAGAAATGTTGCCTTATTTTCAGGCGGTTTTCAGCGGGGTGCGTTGCTCAGGGCTGCGGCTGCAGTCCTCTCACATTCTCAGTCTCAGAACAGCCGATCGAGTAGGAGAAGGAAGCTGGCTATTGAGGAAGCTCACGCCACTTTGCAGCTCGGCAAACGTTTGGGTATGAACTGCGAAGGGAAGGAGAATGAAGTGGTACAAAAAATTGTTGAGCTAGAGCTACAAGATGCAGAGCGGTTTGATAAAATTGCAAAAGGGGGTCAGGTGGGTCAGACCTGATTGGCCGTGAATTGGAGGTGTGTAGCGGGGTTAAAGCTAGTTTCCAATGAAGATCATGTCTTGGAATGTTAGAGGCTTGGGTAGGCTGGAAAAACGACGTAGAGTGAAGCAGATGATTAAAGAAAAAAGAGTAGATGTTTTGCTCCTTCAAGAAACCAAGAGCAGAAATATTGATGTTACTTTTGTTCGATCTATTTGGCCTTGGGAGAAGCTGGAATTTATGGCTGCAGATTCGGATGGGAGTGCTGGAGGGCTTTTGAGTATTTGGAATCCTGAAGTTTTCTCCTTATCAGAGTGTTGCAGTAACAGAAATTTTTTGCTTCTATCAGGTACTCTTTCTGGTTCATTTGAGTGTGTCTTCTTAAATATTTATGCGCCTAATGATGTGGTCCAAAGAGCTAAGTTGTGGAATTCTATCCTCAATATAAGATCCTCTTTTCTAAAGCCTTGGTGCATGGGTGGTGATTATAATGAGATTAGAGTTCCTAACGAAAGAAGAGGATGTACTAGAAGTTCCAAAGGGATGCATGATTTTAACAATTTTGTAGATCATCTGGAAATGTTGGATTTACCTATGTTGGGTAGGAATTTTACATGGTGTAATTCTTTGGAAGGTGAAAGGTGGAGTAGAATTGATAGGTTTCTGTTGGATCCCACCTGGGTAGAAAATTTTAGTTTGAAGTTATGGGGGCTTACCTAGACTGGTGTCTGACCACTGTCCTCTGTTGCTTATGGAAGATGAGAAAAACTGGGGCCCTAAGCCGTTTAGGTTTCTGAATGCTTGGACCCTGCATCCTAGCTTCTTGTCTGTTGTGCAAAAGTCCTGGGTGGATTCGCAGGTTCAAGGGTGGGCTAGGTACAGAGCTAAGGCGAAATTGTGTAGTCTCAAAGCTGAGTTGAAAAGGTGGAATTCTGAAGTGTTTGGTTGTGTGGAGGACCAACTCAAAAAGGCTGAAGTTGAGTTGCATGAGCTTGATCTGTTGGCGGAAATGAGGTCATTAGAACCTCATGAAGTTGTAAGAAGAAGGGAGGTCAAAAACTTGGTGTGGTCATATAGAAAGAAATTGGATTGGATATGGTTCCAAAAGTCTTGACTAAATTGGGCTCATAATGGTGATCGGAACACCAGGTTTTTTCATATTATGGCTAGCCAAAGGCAGAATAGGAACTTAGTGGACTCAGTGGTTGTGGATGGGGTTCGCGTTGAAGATCCAGCATTGGTAAAACAAGAAGTGCTGGGGTTCTTTACAAAGGCATTTTCGGAAGATTGGCCATCTCGTCCAAAATTGTCTGGTAGTTTTGTGCGGATTAATAGTGCTAAGGTGGTGGAGTCTCTTGATCCTGAGTTCACTCTGGAAGAAGTTTGGGAGGCTGTAAAAGACTGTAATGGGAATAAAGCGCCGGGTCCGGATGGTTTCAACGTGATGTGCATCCAGAAATGCTGGAAGGTTATGAAAAGTGATTTATTCCAGTTTATGCAGGAGTTTTACATGAACAGTAAGCTGGTTTCTGGGTTAAATAGCTCCTTTATCACCTTAGTTCCTAAGCTTACTAGTCCCTCGGGTTTGTTAGATTTTAGACCAATTAGTTTGGTGGGTGTACTGTATAAAATCTTGGCTAAGGTACTCTCCAAAAGATTGAAAAGGGTGCTTCCAGATGTGATTGGAGTAGTGCAGACTGCCTTCTTGGGGGGGGAGGAATATCTTCGATGGGGTAATGATTGCTAATGAGGTGGTGGATTGGTGGAAGAAGTCTAAAGAGAAGGGTGTCATTTTCAAACTTGACTTTCAAAAAGCTTATGATTCGGTCAACTGGGATTACCTGTTTTCTATGATGGCCAATCTCGGGTTTGGGGAGAGATAGCTGGGTTGGATGAAAACTTGTGTCACCACGGCTAGAATTTCAATTCTTGTTAATGGTTCACCAACAAAAGAGTTCAGTCCACAGAAGGGGCTAAGGCAAGGTGATCCTCTCTCTCCCCTTTTTGTTCAATATTGTAGCTGAGGGCCTCAATGTTTTGTTGGAAAGGGCTAAAGTTTTGGGCTTAATTAAGGGAGCTTCTATTGGGTTAGGAAATTTGAATCTGTCTCATCTCCAATTTGCCGATGACACTATTCTTTTTTGCGATGCTGAGTGGGAGGAAATAGTAAATGTTAAGTAAGAAGCTTCCTCTAGGTGGTGTCGGGCCTTAAAATAAATTTCCACAAAAGTGTGGTGTGCGGAGTTGGGATTAGTGGAGATATAGCTCAAGCTTTTGCCTCTAAACTTTATTGTCTAAGTAAGAAGCTTCCTCTTTTGTACCTGGGCTTACCTGTAGGTGCTAACCCAAGAAGAAAGAAGACTTGGCAACCTGTGGTGGAGAAGGTAAAAGCTAAATTAGCCTTATGGAAGAGAAGGACGCTTTCATTTGCTGATCGTCTAACTCTGATCAAATCTGTCCTTGATAGTCTGCCTGGTTACTACCTTTCTCTCTTCAAATTACCTAAAGGGGTAGCTAAGGAAATTGATAAGTTGAGGGCAACATTTTTATGGGGTAGTTCAGAAGTCCGGAGGAAGATTCATTTGGTAAACTGGAAGTTAGTAACTCTTAGTAAAGAGCATGGAGGGTTAGGCATTAGAAGGGTGAGGGACTTTAATGATTTCTTGTTAACTAAGTGGTGGTGGAAATATGGGGTGGAAGATGAATCTCTGTGGAAGAAAGTAATTTTGAACAAGTATGGGGGAGTGGGTGGTAGATGGTTACCAGTGTTGGAAGGGACTGGCAAAGAATCTTTTGTTTGGAGTGATATTCTGAGTGTGTTAAGGGCTAATGCTGAGCTTTTTGAATTTTTTACGTCTAATTGCAAGCTTGTGATAGGAAATGGGTGTAGGATTCACTTTTGGCATGATAAGTGGCTGTTGAATGTTCAATTGAAGGTAGAGTTCCCAAGGTTGTTTAGATCATCTGTGGATAAAGACGGGAATCTGAGCTCTTTCATGCAGAGGAGGGATATCTCAGGAAATTGGAGGTTTCTGTTTTCAAGATCACTTCTTGCTTGGGAGGAAGAGGAGGTTCAAAGGCTGCAAGACTTGACTGGAGATGCTCCCAGGATTAATGAGGAGCTGCCAGACTCAGTCAGGTGGACTGTATCTCCTTCAGGTCAATTCACTGTAGCATCATTAGGGAAATGGTTTGAGGTGATTCAAGGCCCAAAGTTGCAGGTTCCTAATCTGTTATGGAGAGGTGTGGCCCCTCCAAAAGCTCAATTTTTGAGCTGGTTGGCTTGGAGGGGTAGGGTTAAAACCATTAGTCTTTTACAGAGGTTTAGGGCCTTAAGTAGTAATGTGGAGAATCTGTGCCTTTTCTGCAAGATGGAACCAGAGTCCGTGGATCATTTGTTCCTGCAATGCACGGAAATTTGGAAGGTTTGGTCATCTCTGCTTCAATGGTGGGGAGTATCCTGGGTCATCCCTGCTACTGTTGATGGTGTGCTGTTATGGTGGATGGGAACAAAATTCAAAAAGTCAGTTGTGAGGATTTGGAGGCTTGTTCCAATTGCAATGTTATGGTCAGTATGGAGGTTAAGAAATGAGTGTGTTTTTAAAGGAAATCAGCCTAATATGGAAGAGCTTGGTGATATAGTGAAAGTGAGAGTTGGGTTGTGGGCCAAGTCTAGGCTGCCAGAGTTTCACTTTTCAGTGCATGATGTAGTGGCTAATCTGAATCAGGTGACTTGTTGTTTATAGGGATTTGCTGTTGGGTTGTACATGCTTTTGGGATGTGTGTGCTTGGTATGTTGCCCTCTGTGTAGTCTGCTTCATGCCAGATGGGGTGTGTATGCTTCTGCTCTAGTCTGCTTTAATCAGGGTACTGCTAATCTGATTCAGGGTAGTCTGCCAATCTGGGAAGTCTGCTAATCTGTGCCTGTTGGTCTGCCAATCTGTGTCTGCTGGTCTGCTCTGGCATGCTCATGCTAATCTGAATCAGTATGCTAATCTGATTTAGATCAGATGCTGTGTGTTGCCTTGTTGTGTGTCGCAAGGTATGAATCAAGAAGTCTACTGCTGGGATGTTGCTGGCAGATCTATTGCTGGTATGTTACTGGCAGATCTGTTGCTGGTATGTTGCTGCCTTATGCTGTGTGTAGTCTGCCTTATGCTGTTGTTGGTCTGGCTGTAGGCTAATTCGGGTGTGAGAAGCTGTAGTATTGTAACTCTCTTCTGTGGTCTTTTCTTTTCTATTCTCTTTTGTTTCCTTTATTGGTTTCTCATCAATTTAGGGTCTTGTGCTATCTGCTCTTCTCTCTTTGTTGATGTAAGTTTGTATGTTATACTTTCTTCATCAATAAAGTTTTCTTTTGTTGATCAAAAAAAAAAATATTAAATTAAGAGATTTTGAAGCATTGATTAATGTGAAAGTTGATGAATTTCGAAAGAATGCATTTGTGGAGTTATATTACTTGATGTAAAGATTTTTCTACTAGACTATATATTCATATTATGCTGTTGAAAACTTTTCAGGAACTGACGGTATCTCACGACCTTGAGTTGGCATGGAGAATCAGTATGAGCTAGAAGAGCTCTATTGATTAGGTCGAATGCCATTTGTTTTTTAAAGGATTGAACTTTTTTTATTTGATGTAATTTAAGGGAATTTCACCTGTAAGGAATATTGATTCCATTTTGATTTACATACTATATATTTGTCGATGAATAGACAATGTATGCAAAGATTACAGAACATGTACTGAAAGCCATATTTATATACAAGGGAGATTTATGATTATTCTTTCTTTTCTTTTGCTATTTATGCTGCATTCTTGAATTTATTATTATGGGTTCAAATCTTTAGATTAAAAAGTTTGTGACAAATTCAGTAATTCATAGTGTATCAAAAATCCACTTCACAAACGTTAACTAAGAGTACCAAATTGCATCTTTATGCAAACATATATATGTATTTGGATATACACATAGATAGAGAGAGAGAGAGAGAGAGAGAGAGAGATAGATTAGGAAATCTTGAGAATATAGAAGCGAAGCTCCAGAATTGATTTGGGGGAAAAGAATGGCGATGACGACATTTTTAGTCGCTGCCACTACCTGTCGATGCCACTATTGTAATCTAGTCCTTATCATAGCCACCTTCGCTAGGATCGAATAAGGGTTGTGAAAATTAAAATAATTCAATAAAAGAAGGATAACTCCTGTCATAATGTTCAAGTTTTTGAATCTTGTTTTTAATTGATCAAGTCTTGAATGTATAAAAAAGTGTAAAGAACAGAGCATGCATTAAAACTACATACGGCAAACGCATAGGGAATGCTAACCATATGTTCTTTTTTCAAATCATTCTTCAAACATTGACTTAAACTGAATTTATCACCCTTTAAAATAGGCGCTGCCAAGGTTCTGAAAAGTGATTGCGGTTGCCGTAACGGCGGTGGCGGCGCTGTTGCGGGGTGTAAATGCCGTAGCATAACGGTTGCTGTAATCGGAACCATGAATTTTTTTATTTTTCGCACAATTTGAAAAAATTTACGAATATGCATATTTTTTTCCCATAATCATATTTATTGGGTTTTAAAATAAATATTAATCAATTTTTGTAAATTTTTAAGTATGATCCAATATATTTTATATTTTTAAATTACTATAAACTCAGTTTTTTACATTTTATTTTAATAATTAATGATGTTATATGTCATAAATCCATATTACGCTTGTGGCAAAAAAAAAAAAATTATTCGACTTAGACGTATAAAATTATTTTTTTAATTATTATACTTATGGAAGCATATGCAAATTATAACTTGAATAGTTTTAAAAAATAAATTATACATGCTAATGTAATCATATAAAAATTAAAAAAATAAATTATAAAGAAATTTTTATTTTTATTTTTTTTTTGGGGTTTGAATCACTTGAATATTCATTCTCTTTTTGGATAAACTGTAAATAAAAATAAAATAAACTAATCAAAAAAAATTGACATGCATAAAATATGCATTAATATATAATTATAGGTGTAATGTTTTCTAGATATTTTACAAAAAAAATCAATTACTAACTATTATATATAAGATGAACAATGACAAAAATAAGAGAATAAATA